TACAATTGATATAGCAGTAATAGAACCTTTTAGGCAGTGGTCACAGTAACTTTTTGTTAGATAATTACAAATCATTAAAATTTTATTTTAATTTAATTACTAAAAATAATAAATAATAAATAAAATAATTAATTATAAAATAATATATTATATTATATATTTATATTATTACATAATATTTTAATTATATTTTTAAAAAAAAAATTTAACGAAGAAAAAGATGATCATGTTGCCATTTGTTGCATCTTGCAATGCTAACCCTTCAACAGATTGTTAATCCGCCGTCAAAATCAAATACCAAACTCAATTTCTTTGGAATCAAGTTCCTTCTGCCTATCTCTACGCTGAATAATATACTCTCCCAATTACGAAACTGCAACAACAATTTTTCCTCATTTCAAACCTGACTATAAATAAATTCAACAATGGATAAATGAATTTATGAATTCAAAAATAGAAAGACAAAAAATTTCTAATTAAATGGCAGTTCATCAATCACATTCAACCAACCTCCCAAGCATCCTTAAATCCTTGTAAGAAAATTTGGTAAACACCTACAAACAGCATTCTGATGGAGAGGCGGCTTCTGAATCCCAACTTCGCCGCATTTCAGCCGGAATGGGAGCGGGAGGACATCCTGCTAACGTTCTTTAAATGCACCAGATGGCAAGTGGAAGAAACATTGGATCCAATCACCTGTCCGTTCCACTACTTCTGCGACAGCATTTATCCCGGAAATTATTCTCCGGCGGTGGACGCCACTGTTCTCTTCTTCACCACGGCTTCGTTTCTAGCAACATTAGTGATTATGGTAATAGATATTTCAAGGAGAGGGCAATGCTGTTTTGGACAATGGAAGAGATTTTTGCTGCCATCTGGCCCTGTTTCTCTACCGCTAATCCTGTTAGCTCTAGCCAAGGGTCAACAGATCAACACTCTGTTTCCACTCTCCTGCATTGGCCCGGCAACCCTTCAGTTGGTTCAGATTTCTGCTCTGGCGTTTGACATTGGAGCAGATAAGGATCCCAAGTATGCATTCTTCGAAGCATCGACCATTTCAGGGATTTTGCATGCCAGTCTCTACCTTGATTCTATTATCTTACCGTACTATACAGGTTTCGATGCTCTGGTGTCATCAGACTTCTCCGGAGAGTGTTTATCTTGTGTGTGTCGGAAAGAGGCTTTGGTTGCCGGAGGAAAGTTGGTATCTTACCGGGGGTGGTCATTGACTACATTCTCTGTGGTCGGAGCTCTATGTTGGAGGATCATTTGCACAACTTCTGCAGAGCAGAAGCGAAAATTCTCAGTTGTCAAGTCTCTGTTGGAAGGTTTAGGGTGGATGTTGATAACCAAAGATTGCATTTATCTGGTCATTAACTCTCCGCCGGAAAAGCCTCTGTTAAGAGCTGCGGCTTCCGGAGGCATTCTTGTATTGATCTGTCTTCAATTACTCAAAAAGGTTTGCAGAAAAATAGTACAATGATACAGGATGTCGCCATGGGTGTACTGGCAGATCGATTGTCCAGTTAAGTCCCCTGTTTTTCTATATACACAGGATGTCACTATGGCCATACTGGAAGATAAATTGTACAGTCTTAAGTCCTCTGTTTTTCTATGTACTCATTCTAGGACATAACGGTTAGATTTATTTTCTTTGCGTTTTGGTACATCATGCAGGGGGAAGAGGATACGTAATAACTAATAGGAAGTTTGTTTCAGACAACAAAAATAAAATAAAATAAATCAAAATTCATAATTTACAGATTGAATAGAGAAATGTGACAACAACAAAACAATGGCAAGGTATTTCAGGTAAAAGTTAAAATGTCAGCAGGTGAGAGGAAGTTTTTGTGTCTAACAAGCACTCTCATTCTCCAAATTGCCAAAACTGATATTATAATCTTATCGAAGCTCACAAATAAAATATTTAAAGTTAAGGGATACAGCATTGAGAGAGTTAATTTGTGTGAATCTCACTTCACTTCTTGTTGCAGGTACTAATCCTCTTTACCAGAAAATTGATGGCTGTCCTAATTTGAAGCGTAAACCCATGGTCAAGTTACAAAAAGAACCTCCTTCGGCTAGTGTCCATTTCAGGCTGACATTGAAAAGTGAGGGAAAAAAAAAAATGTAAACAAATAAGATGAGGATATTTAAATCTTAAAACATGGAAATCATTACAATGCATAAAAACAATTTCGTCCAAATGGAATTAATTACCTTGTGAGCCCATTCATATTCCCCTCCTTTTGTATCAAATGTTCCATGCTGTAGACTCATTAACTTCAGGGTGAATCGAGGACCGCACTCCTGCATATTTGGGATTTAGGAAACAACTATTAAAGAATGTTTAACACATAGTCCTTTAGACCATGCAAACAGTTCACAAGCACAAATTCTCAAGCCCGTTATAACCAGCACAAAAAACTCACTTGCAATAATGGAATGAACAAAATGCCTAATCTAACCTTCAAATTTAAAGTTCGATCAAGAGGGAAGAATATCTAGAGTTGGATTATCTCAACAGTCAACAGTCAATGCTAATTGTTAGCCTTAAAAAACAAGCCTTAATTGAAGGATTCCAAATGCCAAGCCATGTTTCACAAAAGCAGTAATGGGATTTTCGGAATTCAAGAATAAAATGGTAAAAACAGAAACAGAGTAGGTACACAAACCTGAAGGCGAGCAACTACTTTTTCTTTAGGGGTGTTCTCACCCTTGGCATCCTTTGCCTTTTTATCTTTTGAGTCGCTTTGTTTATCCTCTTTGGTTTCAAAGATGTATCTGAAAGACATGGAAAACATAAGATAATCATCAAAAAGAGATTAAACAGTTAACCATTTCTTTACTTGAGAAGAGCCAGAAGACCTATGATTGACACACCTGTGATGCCGAAAGAATACGAAATCTCTTTGATTGTGAAAAGTTACAACTCGTCGACCACGGAAATTTGGATCTTGAGGGAAAAGTGACTGAATTAGCCTAAAGAAAGATCACAAACAGAGACCCAACTTGTCAGTGAAAGAACCACGGACTGGACATCATGTATTAAGAAACCAGGAAAATGAATAAAAGGAAAGCCAAAATACAGAACAAAAACCAGATTGCAACCTCCCAATGCGATGGCCCAGGCGAGTTGTAAAGTTATTCAAAACTAACTCAGGTTTGTGACTGGTAGGATTTCCATGATTCTGCAGGTAATATAAATTTAAGCAATTGGTGAGTACAACATTCACGTCAAAATACGGGAATACACAAAGCATAATGAATGTGTCTTCAAACACATGCCACTTCCATTAAGAAAATTAACTAAAATGAAAATATTTTCAGTAAAATGATAAAGAGAGTAGCCTGTGTTAGATTAAAATAATCAGCATTTTACCTTTATATCCTTCCGCAGAATAAGACTTGAAAGTTTGAAGTGAGCTGTTGGTCCATCAGGCAAGCCCATAATTAGGAGAGCATCTACAAGAGAGTGACATAAGCAATTAGATATAACTCTTTTCCAGGAGGCCTGAAATTTTATCAAGAAAAGGCAATAAAATGAAATAAAATAAATCTGTCCAAACACCATAGACATGGAAAAGAAGTACTGAGAGCACCATCCATATCATAACATAAATTCATGTCAGATTCTTCTCAAAAGAAAAGTGCATCATTAACCTGGTTCCCTGCGGTTGGTGTGAACTACTATAATTGAAGTGAAGTCCTTGTTCTTTGCATACTCTACAATCTGCAGTAAGTTCAAAACAATCTTCAACGAGATTTTTTATTTTTTGGCCACCAGCCCTGTATTTTTTATTATATCATAAACATGAGTAACAGGAGGCGAATAGGTGAATTACCTTTTTCAAGTCATAGGTTCCCCGCTTGTAATAATGAGCATTGGGGATTATTGAAAGCAGTTCTGATATAAACGCTGGCCCCCTCTGTAAACAAAGTTCCAAAGAAATGAAAGTTAGCCTAACAATTTGCGAACAGAATGTACAGTAAGAGAAGTAACCTGCATTAAAAGCTATAACACTTTAAAGAAGAGCTTAATCGTAAATGCCAATGCAACAAAGCAGAAACAAAAGTGAGATGGCATACATACAGTAGAATTAAAACGGCAAGTGGTAATTAATATCTTCGGAATTTGATCCTGCTTCAGAATCGAACTGAATTCATCTGCATCATTACCAGCAAATAGCTGAAAAATGAATGTAAATTCAAAGTTAGTCATATTTCTCATAAGGGAAAACCAATGTACCAATTTCACCATATAATTAGTGTGCCAAACTATGAAGTTGCAAAATTTGCTTCAAAGGTATAATTAGTGAATCAATCTAAGTCTCCATTTATGAAACTCAGCCCTTGGTAGTGGCTGCTCAGAACAAGAATAAAAGTCTCATTTTTGAGAATTCAGACCTCCAAATTCCACACCAAACAACATCTACAACTGAATGAAATTTAGAAACAAACCTCTTCATCATCAGGCTTGCAAACAGTTTCATCCGCCTCTCTCGTATTCTCAATTGTGCGCGGGATCATCTTAGGTGGAGGCTACAGAAAACGAACATAAACAGCGAATCAATCAGAAACCCTTTTCTGGACATCTGGAAGCAAATTTGAATGCTTCTTCAAAGCAAAACCAAATTCAATAATATGTTCTCGATATAGAAGTAGAAAAATGGCACCTCCTCACCAAGCTCCAGTGCGCGCTTCTCCGCAGCATCCCGCGCCTTGAGCTTCTTTCGCTTCTCGACCTTCTTCTGGTGTTTGAGCTTGGCGTGTTCGGCCGATCTCTTCTCCTTGTTCTTTATCATAGATGGAAGTATCTCACTCTTCTTCATCTTCTTACTAATGCTATTGTTGCCCTCATCCCCTCCCTTAGCTCCTTCACCGTCGTCACTGTGTTTCCTCTTTCCTCCCATTTTTTTTGCGAAAACTCTTAGCTACCGTAGCTGATTTCAGAGAGGAAGAAGAGAAGAAGACCGTCCTGTATTGCGGGTTAGGGTTTTTGATTAGGGTCGTAGTAGGTAACTGTCTCGTGGGTTACAGAACCCAGCCCATATCATGGATTTAGGCCCTGTTTGGAAACTGAAAGTCTATGACTTTATTGGGCCGTCTCAGAGAGGTTTGAGGTTGAATTTTTTTTTTCTTTTCTTTTTGGAGGGTTTATATATATGACAAAGTTTAGGGTTTATCCAAATTTTCATAATAACTTCAAAAAAAAAAGAGAGGGATAAAGTTTGTAAAGAATTTATAACATGAAAAATAAAAATGAAATAACACTAATATAGTAAATAAATGAAAATATGAAAAGGAAAATATAAATTTTAAAAATAGATGTAGATAATTAAAGAAGGGAAGAAAAAGAAAGAAGAGAGAAGAGGTGGAGGAGGAGAAAGAAGAGAAGAAGAGGAAAGAGGAGGGGAAGAAGGGAGAAGAAAGAAAGAAGAGGAAAGACGAATAGAAGAAAAGAAGAAGAGGCAAGATGAGGGGGAAAGGAAGAAGAGACTAGGAGGAGGGGAAGCAAGAAAATAATCTAAGGAAAGAGTTCTGCATTTTGTAGGTGAGAATTATATACATCATAACTAGTTTGAAGTACTAAATTTGAAATTTGGTGCATAGAAAGAGATTAAAATTTTTGGTAGTTCACTATTCAGGCTAATAAAGGCCTAGATATTACTAAAAATTTCGAAATCCCAATGTAAATTTTTTAATGATAAAAGTTGTTAACATATCCAAAGCAACTGTGGTACGGATATTTATGAAAATTTTAGGATGTATCACTCAATTTGCTAGGCAAAAATGTGCACAAAAATATTCAAACTGTAATTGATTTGAATATATTTAAAATATCAAGATTTATCATTCGTTTACTTCATGAAAAAAATAAAAATCAAGATATTATGACACTTTAAATGCCATAACTATTAGTGAAATTGTTCACATATCCTTAATGAATCTTTTTTACATGGTAATTCATTAAAGGTATTTTAATTTTTTCATTATCATTTCTAGTATTTTAAGTGCTAGGACGTCGTACTTTTCTCAATCCCTTAATTTATGTTGATTGTAAAAATAATGGTAACGTTACATGAAAATAAATGGATTATAAATTCTATGGAATTCGATGGTGTTTGGTGCCTTTATCAATAAAGAAGGCAATGGTGTAACCCATAATTGGAAACAAACAAAGTTGTATCACAAGAAATGAATTCTGTTCCTTTGAAAATAAGAAAAAGAGGAGGGGAATATCTCAAATAAATATATTTGGATCGTAGTTGATTTCTATAACTTATTCATACCAAATATGGTATAAATAACTAGGCTATAATCCATTTCCTAGCTTCACTCCTCAAATCAAAGCTTGATGTGCTCTAGTTCCCCTGAATCCTAACTCTCGAAACTTCAAATATGATAGACTTTAATGGTAAAGTTACTAATATTAAACTAACGTGTTTCTCATTTACCAATAATATGTTCTTGCATCACATTTAACCAATCTAAGATGCGTAAATGATGCCTTTGGGCTTATGGGTCAGTAAGTGAGTGAACAATGAAAACCACAACTTGAAAGAAACAAAATTGTATCACAGAAATAACTCTTGTCCTTGGATGAAAAAAAGAAAAGTTTTGAAGGAGATGAAGGTTCTGGAATGGTACGTCATATCTAGATAGTAATCAATCCATATAGGTTATCCAAACCAACTACAATTTGAATAATTAGGCCAAGATCGATTTCCTGGTTGTATCCTTCAAACTAGGGCTCAATACAATATAATTTCCTTAAATCCTAGCTCTCGAAACTTTGAATACCATATAATTTAACGATAAAGTTACTAACCAAAAACTACCATGTTACCCATTTACTAGCAATACGTTCTTGCATTACTATGAATCAATTTGAGAAGCGTAATTGATGCCACTAGCCCACTAGGTCACTATTAGAGTGAACAATGGAAACCAAATCTTGGAAGAAACATGATCGTATCATAGGAAGTGGGTTTTAGCCTTAAACACAAAGAAAAAAAGTTATTGGAGGATGGTTTCTAGAATGGAAGGCATCAATATGAAGTGTTAGTGGCTTGTATAGTATCTACAGACTGTTTATGATCTAAGTTTGTTTTCCATGACGCCTATTGCGGTTGGACTCCTTAAATTGGTGCTTGATGCATTTTATTTACCTTGAATCCTAGTACCTGAAATTCTTGAATACAATCAAATATAAGAGAAAAGTTTCAACTTTAAACTAGTGTGTTCCTTAAATCACTGGAGTTTATCCTTAATAGCCAGCCCCAAAAAAGAAAAAGGGTTAGGAGGCGCGCATTGTTACTACCTTTTTCAGACCGTTTTGCAATCTGGAAAAAAAAAAAAAAATGTTTTAGGAACAAAAATATTAGAAAAGAAAAATGCTCCTGCCGAATCTACTTATAGAAGCCTCAATATCTTACCATTCCATCCACATTTTCATTAGGATTATGTTCGGCTAATATTATGTTTATTACATTAGCAATATATGTACCGTACATATATACACGTATGCTCTATTTATTTATTTAGTTGCATCACATGATCAAATATATATTAATACATATATATTTATAGTTAATACATCTACTCCATGCATAAAGTAAAATGAAGTTAGTTGTCAGTTATGGTTAAACAGAGAAACTGTGATATGATATAAAGGAAATTATGTCCTTCCCATATATAGATATATATAATACTGGAAAATGAGGCCTAAAGATGTGGCATGCGAGGGGTAGTAGTGCCGCTAGTGGCCCGGAGACGGGAGTGTCATGCCAAGCTGCGTATAAAGGAACTGTAATGACTTCTGCATTTTCTGATATGACTGTGACAGAGCAGTGTACTTGAGAAGTGTAAAGTTCCCGAGACTTGCACTGCTCCTCCCTACTTGTCTGAACCAGGACCTGCAGACTGCTGGAGGTCCGATGGCTTGGAAGGACATGGACAAGAGGCACTCACACCTACGTCCTCTGAGTGGGTGTGAACGTCAAGGCATTTCAACTGCCTTTTCTTCACCCCACTGGCTGCCCTAAGAAGTAGGTCTCCTTGCACTTGTGCGGGATCCAATCCTTCCTCCATGCCCTTACTCACATACTTAGT